CCTTCTTCACATATAATAAACTTTAATATGAAAAGGTAAGCAAAAATTAACCTAATATTATTTTTTTTTCTTTAGATAAAAGACGATTGATACTTTTTTAGTAAGTGAACACTAGTTTTGTACATTATTATTTTTCTTTCTTTAGATTGAGTGAACTTGAATGTCATTAGATTAAGACGAATGGATTGAAAAAATGTTCTGTTCTTTAGATACAATGAACTTTAATATGAAGAGGTAAGCAAAAATTAGCCTAGTATTTTTTTTTCTTTAGATAACAGACGATTGAACCTTTTTAAAGTAGGTAAAAGCTATTTTTGTACATTATTATTTTTCTTTCTCTAGATAGAATGAACTTAAATATCATTATATCAAGAACAATTGATTCAAAAAACATTTCCGTCTTCACACTCAATTAACTTTAATATGAAAAGGTAAGCAAAAGTTAACCTACTACTTTTTTTATTTCTTTAGATGAAAGGCGATTGATACTTTTTTTCGTAAGTGAACACTGGTTTTGTACATTATTCTTTTTCTTTCTTTAGATTGAGTGAACTTGAATGTCATTAGCTTAAGACGAATGGATTGAAAAAATTTTCTGTTCTTCAGATACAATGAACTTTAATATGAAGAGGTAAGCAAAAATTAACCTAATATTTTTTTTTACTGCTTTAGATAAAAGACGATTGAAACTTTTTTAAGTAAGTGAAAACTATTTTTGTACATTATTCTTTTTCTTTCTTTACGTAGAGCGAACTTGAATATCATTAGATTAAGAACAATCGATTCAAAAAACATTTTTCCTTCTTCGCATACAATTAACTCCAATATGAAAAGGTAAGCAGAGATTAACCTAATATTATTTTATTTCTTTAGATAAAAGGCGATTGATACTTTTTAAGTAAGGGAAAACTACTTTTGCACATTATTATTTTTCTTTCTTTAGATAGAATGAACTTGAATGTCATTAGATTAAGACGAATGGATTGAAAAAAATTTTCTGCTCTTCAGATACAATTAACTTCAATATGAATAGGTAAGAAAAATCAATTTTAAAAATTATTCTTATTCTTCATATAAAATACGATCTACACCTTTTTAAGTAAGTCAAAAATAGCTGTATAGATTTTTATCCTTTTTTCTTCAGATGCAATTAACTTCAATATGAATGAGTAAGAAAAAGTCAATTTAAAAAATTCTTTTGTTCAGATGAGGCACAATAGAAAATTATTTTTGGAAGAAGAAATGCATTTTTAAAGTTCCGATATTCCTTTCTTGTAGATGAAATTAAATTGAATATTATTAGGTAATGAAAAGTTGATTTTAAACGTTAGCTTCTTTCTTTAGGCGAAATGAAGTCCAGCATTATTACATTTGCAAAATGTTTTTTTCAAAATTATTATTTTTGTGTTATGGTGTATGTTCTGGAAAAGGTAATGGTGAGTTTCAGGAAAATTTAGAAAGAGTTATTTTAACTTCATTATTATTAAATTGTTTTGCAGTATTGGAAATTAACTTTGAACGAGAAATTCATTTTTTCTTTGAAAACATTTTTATTGAACATTATTATCAAGAGAAACGACGAATTCAAAATTGGGTATGCAGTGTTATGTGAATTTTGGTCCAGCTCTATGGCATAGTTGTGAAAAGTAAGCAGTAAGCTTTATCGTTTTGAATATTTTTCTTTTTATGTTTAGATCCTTCGTAACATCAAATGGAAAAGGATCGAGAACAACAGATTTTGGGGCTTACTGCTCCAGTGTGTATCAGTTTCCGCTTGCAGACGAGCAAATGACTTGGAGTTATGCCTGTGTCAAAACTTAGAAACTGTACATGTCCTACAAAACGAAGAGTGTATTCAAAGTGGGTTCGTTGAAGCAGAACAGAAAAGTCGAAATTGTCAGGTGTAGCATCATTCATGCTATACTTGGCTCTCTTAACTTTTCCATTCTGGTTCGTCGAAGTCACTTTGAATAGATTCCTCGTTTTAGAGAACATGTGCAGTTTCTCAGTCTTGATAAAGACACAACTTCAAGTCAATTGCTCGTCTGGAAGCAGAAACTGGGACACGCTGAAGCAGGACGCCTCATAACCTGTCTTGATTGTGAGCCATTTTGGTTCACTGTCTCGAAACCCCTTGCAAGGGTTTATGAACTTTTTCTAAACCCTTGCACTGGTTTATGTGTGTTTCCTAAACCCTTATATGGGTTTATGAATGTATCCTAAACCCTTCTATGGGTTTATGAATGTGTCCTAAACCCTTATATGGGTTTATGAATGTGTCCTAAACCCTTGCACTGGTTTATGTGTGTTTCCTAAACCCTTATATGGGTTTATGAATGTGTCCTAAACCCTTCTATGGGTTTATGAATGTGTCCTAAACCCTTGACTATACCCCAACATGGGTTTATGTGTATTTCCTAAACCCTTTGCTTAATCCCATCCATACTTAGTGACCGTCATAAACCGTTTTTTAGGGTTTATGCAAGGGTTTCTTGATTTCCTAAACCCCTTCATATACCCTTAGTAAGGGTATATTAAAGGGTTTATGATTTTCCTAAACCCTTAAAAGGGTTGTTGAAAGTGTAACGTATAATAAACCCTTAAAGGGTTTAGGAACTTCCTAAACCCTTTCCTAAACCCTTTGAAAGGGTATATGAAAGGGTTTAGGAATTTCCTAAACCCTTTATTAAACCCTTTTTAAGGGTTTAGGAAAATTTTACATACGGTAAAAAGGGTTTATTATACGTTACACTTTCATCAACCCTTTTTGGGTTTAGTATTCTACGGATTTTTTTTACAGTGTACAGAATATCACGACGCATAATTTGAAAAAATTTAAGATTTTGCCATTTACATTTGTGGAGATATATGGAGAATAAATTATGTTGCAAGCACTCCGAGACATCTAGTATTTGCGTTACATTCTCTCGCAAATGAAGATTTCTTCATGTTTTCCATCACTCCTCTCCTATGAATCTTCTGTATAAATCGGTTGAAAGGATCCTCAAATGGCTCAAACTTGCACTATATTCTGTTGCAATCTGTTGATAAGGATGATAATGCCTGTACTTGGATGAAACACAAATGAATGAAGAAGGAGAAAGACGGCATTCTTTGATTAATCTGGCAATTTAATGCAGCTCTTCGATCCCCACATTGAAATTTGTTGTAATCCATTCAAGTTTTTAGGTATTGAAAGATGTAATAACAAGTCGAAATTTTCTCAGGAACAATGTATTTTCTTTTGAATTCTCAGAGTTCTAATGCTTTTACACAACAATTCCACATAAATTGAATAAGGTTTATATCATGCATGTCGTGCAATTCCTAGACTTCTAAAATAGCGATCGTAACATTAGAATCAAAAAGAAGACATCCGAATGCTATTTCTATGTTTGAGAATACTGGATAGGTTTCCGGAGCTTTTTTCGGAAACGCAAGGATTCTCTGAAAATTCGAAAACCCTGAAGGGTTTCCAATAGATGTTCGGAAACCATGCTCAATTTTTCGAAAACGCTTCCACCGTTTTCGATGCTCGGAAATCCAAAAAGGTTTTCGATAAAAAAATATCAGAAACGCAAAGGTTTTCGAGAAGGTTTTTAAATCAGAGAAGGTTTCCGGGGATAACTTTCGGTTTTCAAAAAGAGCACTAGGGTTTCTGAGAATACGATTGAGGGTTTCCGGACCTATATTTCGAAAACTCATAGGTTTCCGGATACTCGGAAACCCTGAAGGTATTTTCAGAAACTTAACATGAGTCCGGAAACCTTCCCGGATACGTTCAAGGGTTTCGGAAACGGTTTCTGAAGGGGTTTCGGTTTCTGAGAAAACGTTTTTTTTTTTTAGAGTGTAGAACCATCCTCAATCAACATGAAAAATTATTTGATACTAATAAACCTTCAATTGCAATTGGTGTGAAACCACACGCAATAAAAACTCTCGATCATCCTCCACCAACATCTAAACCATTTTATACTACTCCAAGTAAACAAGAAGAAATGTACAAGATAACACAAGAATTATTACATTTTGGTTTAATTCGCCCATCTTATTCACCTTTGTGCAGCACCTGCATTACTTGTACCCAAACATGATGGTACTTGGCGAATGGTAGTAGACTATAAGAAGTTAAACAATATTACAATTAAAGATAATCATCCATTACCCAATCTGGAACAAGCAATCCAAATATTAGGTGATGGTTATAAATTCTTTTCGAAACTCGACATGAAAAGTGGGTTTTGGCAAATTCCAATTGAAGAAGAAGATAAACATAAGACTGCATTTATCACCACTGAAGGTCTTTATGAATGGAATGTTTTAACTCAAGGATTAAAAAATAGCCCACCATCTTTTCAACGAGTAATGACCGATATATTATCTACATGTCGACAATTTTCATTGGTTTATATTGATGATATCGTGGTGTATTCTCGTTCATTTGAAGAACATCTCAATCATCTTGCACAAGTATTAGCTGCTTTATCAAAACATAATTTTCAACTTAATCCGGTCAAATGTAATATTTTTCATCAACGCATTGATTATCTATCTCATACGATATCTGAATTTGGTGTTAAACCTAATAATGAAAAAATTCAAGCAATTATTAAATTGAGGGAACCTTCTACATTAGCAGAAGCAAATAAGTTCCTGGGTGCTATTTCATGGTACCGAAAATTTATCCCTCAATTCGCTACAGTTGCAGCACCCATCCATCGAGTAACAAATTTGACCAAACTAAATCGAAGACAATTTGTTTGAGGTGATGCACAACAACAAGCATTTTTACAATTAAAAGAATTATTAATTAAATCCCAATTATTTCTTAATTTTCCAAATGATAATTATCCACTTATACTGACAACCGATGCATCGAAAGTGGGTATAGGTGGTACATTACAACAAAATATTGATGGTGAAATTAATAATTTATATTATCATTCTCAAGTTACGACTTCCATACAACGACGATATGATCCTATTGAATTAGAAGCATTGGCTATATGGTTATGTTTTCAACGTATGCGATCTTACTTGCTTGGTAGATCAATAATAATTTATACTGATCATTGTCCTTTATGTAAAATGATGAATTCAACCATCAAGAATCGTAGAGTAGATCGTATATCTATTTTATTACAAGAATATAACATTGAAAAAATTATTCACATTAAAGGTCACAATAATTGTTTAGCCGACTATTTATCTCGTCATCCAATACAATATGAAGAAGATATATTTGATGTAGATTATGGTATAAATATGTTATTTCAAGGGGAACCACTGGAAATGGTGCATGTTCCTGAAAACAATTCTCAAATCGTTGGTGCTGTTGTCACACGTTCAAAGATGAAACAAATAGCACAACAACAAGATCAAATTCATGTAACTATACCATCAATTACAAATGATAAATCATCTTCATCAAGTCAAGAAAAAATTGAACATTCAGATGAAGTTACGTCAGATTTAATTACATCTAATAATTTTGATATAACTCAAATCAAAATTGAACAAGCAAAAGATCCAATTATTCAAAAACAATTGAAGAAATTATGAAAGATCCAACAAACCATTCTTATGTACTTAAAGATGGCATATTATACAAGTTAGCATTAATGCGTAGTAATTCCACTACAAAAACAAAGTTAATTTGTTTACCATCATCCTTGATTAATTCCCTTCTTCAATCGTACCATAATGATCCACTTAGTGGTCATTTTGGCGTTCCACGTACATATTTAAAGATTAAAAGTAAATTTTGGTGGCCAAAAATGAAACAATCGATTACTCAATATATACAATCGTGTTTACCTTGTCAACAATACAATATTAATCGTACCAAGAAACCAGGTCGACTTAATCCAATTCCTACTCCAGAAGGACCATTTCAATTAATAGGCATTGATTATTGTGGTCCGTTCAAACCAACACCTCGTGGCAATCAATATGTATTATGTATTACTGACTATTTTACAAGATGGGTAACGGCAGTAGCTTTACCTGATTGTTCAGCACAAACAACGGCCCAAACATTATTTAATAATTATATTTGTCAATATGGTGTACCATCAGCTATATTATCTGATCAAGGTACTCATTTTAAAAATCAACTTATGGAATCTATGGCAAAATTAATTGGTTACAATCATATTTTTTCATGTGTTTACCATCCACAGTCTAATGAAATGGTTGAACGTTTCAATGCAACATTTGTTCCCCAAATTGCAAAACTTCAAGATCGTGAAAATAACAATTGGAACGAATTTTTATTACCAGTAGTATTCGCTTACAATACTGGAATTCATGCAACAACTGGTTATTCACCATTTCAATTGCAATATGGTCGCGATCCACGTTTACCTACAGATGAACCTTCAACATCGTTCATATTTAATAAACCACAAGATTATTACGAACAATTAAAGAAGAATTTGTTGATAATACAACAACAAACACGTGATAATGTTAATAGTCGACAACAACGATACAAGAATCGTTATGATAAACAACGTGCAGATCCACATTATGAAATTAATGATTTAGTATTGGTTAAAATTCATGAAACAAAAGCAAAATAAGATCCAAAATATTCGATTACACCCAAAGTTGTTATTAAAAAACAACATCCAATTTATTGGGTTAGAGATGAAGAAACACAGGTCGAATCGAGAGTGCATGTCAATGATATTCGACCTATATTCAATTCCAAAACAATATAAAATATTAATGTTTAGTTTTTGTTAGTGATCGATTAATGTTAATGTATATGTTTTGTTATGATATAATGGTTGATGTTTGACTATGTTTGGCGTATGCGCAACGACTTTCATGGGACAACATTGATTCATTAATGTGTGTGGAAAAATTGATATTTTAATATGCGCCCATTAATTATCAATAGTTATCATCATTCCCATATGGATAGCATTATCAAAAATTGATTATTACAAAAATTGACATTATATTACATGTCAGGAAACTCCTCTTTAGGGATGTTTCTGGGTGATATGAAGTGAACCAAAGTTGGCGCTATCCAAACTTGAGTCCAAAATCCATATTTTACCATTTTTTCCATATACCACAGAAAGTCATCAATGCACACCAATAATGTATATAATTGTTAAACAAGTCTTTATTAATTATTTAGCACTCATCTTAGTTACTACTAATTATGTGAGTACTTCTCTAATTAGAGCTAATTAGTCTAGTACTAATTACAGTAAACACCTTCCTATATTCCAGAGGTACCTTTAGGTCCTCAAGTCCTATATTCTAGAGGTA